GTCGTGCGTCGGTGACTGTAAGGGCTGTTTGGGCGCTGTGGGGGGGGGGGGGGGGGGGGGGGGGGGGGGGGGGGGGGGGGGGGGTGCTTAATACCATTGTAAGTTTTCGTGTAGTCAGATAAACAAGTCAAATAAGGAAGACTGAATTCAATTGAAGCAGCTTCATGTAATTGTTACGTCAATAGTACGGAAAACATATAGAGGTCAGTAATATCGAAAATTACTTTGCCTTAAACACTTCTCTGGAAAATTTCCCCCAAATCAAAGACACATTATTTCAATCAGAATAAAATTCTGAATCGTTTGATGTAATATAATCTCGAAGAATTCATTGCCCAATTTTATGATCCAAGTGCATCAGCCACTTTCAAATCTTCTATCCCAAGCATGAATCATCGGTCCTTAGACATCTTACCATATTGCCTGTATAAGCCGATGTTCCATACAACCACAAAAGTAATCAATTTTCCTTCTACTTCAATCAAATGTAACCAACTCTGCCTGCTCTGAGATGTAACTCATTGAAGATAGCACGATTTTTGGCCCTACTTTCATTGCAGTATACCGAAAGCTGCCAGTGCTGAATACAGCTATTGTTAATAAAATGTAGTTATCGTTCTTTGATGTTTAAAAGAAATAATCCTTTTAAGCCATTGATTAATATATGTGTATCCTTCAATTTAATGTCAAAAGAGATAAAATCTATGATATTTACTGTCATTATTTGCTATGAGCTAAAAATCTTGTCAAACAGATTCTAAAGAACAATATTGGCATTATCGTTTATTGCACATAATTTATGAATATGACGACTAAACTTAAATAAGAAAAACATTATTGACTTCGAAAATGCAGAAAATACATAAATATAGATAAATATTTCTACTCTCAGTAGCTCAAAAAATGCATTTGATACCTTAATTGCTCCCACTTGAGAATAACCGTATCCTATTGTTGACTTAGATGGAAATGATTTAACTGATACTTCGTTTTCATTCTTAGATGACTCTTTGTTCGGATTCATTGAATATGAAATGTTGTTGTCATAGATTTCCTCAGTACTACCATCAATATCGCCTTGTGATGCTTGTAGTATATTGTATATTTTATTCATCTTATCATTTTAAGACTATAACAAACAGTAGCTAAATAATCGGCTCCTTAGATTATTGTTTTAGTTACATCAATTGTTCAACAATATTGAATTTGCATGTAATTAAGCAATTTTTTGTTTTCTTACTTACACATTTACCTTTAGGATGCATGATTCTACAACTTACTGTGGTGCAATTTTGATGACGGATTAGATGTGTACACTACTTTATTGATTTTAGACTTATTGCCAACAAATCGAATAGAGATAATATTCGATATAGAAATAGTAAGCGAAGAACAATATTCAACATTTTATTTCTTACAACCTCGTGAAATGAACAATTAAGTTATCTTTGTTTATTTCTGGAAAAAAATAAATTGAAAGTATTGAGGAATCTCATGATTACGCATTGGTTTCTTTTTTTTCTCTCATAACATAGCACATGATTCACAAAATCAATGTCCTGTCAAGATAAATAGATTTACTCTAAGCGTATGAAATCACTTAGTAACGATCATATAAAACGATTTCACATTCAATATGGTGAAACAACAAATTTCCATAAATCAATAAAGATATTGTTATTATTTTTGATTTTCAGATGCTTCAAAAAAACATTTCTGTTACGAAATCTAAAAAGGTTCTTCGTTCGGATACAAACTGGGAACTGTTTTTGGTTTTGTACGAAAAGGACGAAATCTTTTGAGAGGTTCGTCAGTTGAAGAAATCTTTTCGCTTTTGGTACAGTACTTTTATGGATTTGATACAAAACTAACAATGGTTTCGAGTTTTTATTTGTGGGAAGAACTTTTCATGTTCCGTAAAAAAATTTGTTTTTACACAATAGAATATTACTCGCTATAAATAATACATCTGAATGGATAATTCAAATATACATTTGATTTATTAGTTATAAAAGTATATGAATTTTTTTCCTATAGAATAAATTTTGTCATAAATGCATAGATACTACTCATTATATAATCAAAACTACCCAAAAGTTTCGACTTTTCGCGCCATTCTATTTTAGGACGGCTAAAGTTATGAGATGAACTACGTATATACACTAGCATATAGACTACTGATAGTGCTTTGTCACACTATTATTCTGAATTCTGCAAAAGTAAGAAATGTTGATCTTAATATTTAACTTTTTCATCGAAAGTAAATATAGGGTAAACCGTCTGTAATACCTTATTTACCAATTGAAACTCGTTGAACGTCTGGTTCTTATATCCTTTAATAAACACCCGATATACGTATTAAATATGACTAAAATCGATGGTTAGTCATTATATTACGATGCACAACAGTAGATCGCACAATAGGCTATTTTTCATTTTTTTGCACAATCACATATCGATCTACTCTGTATATCAGCTACGTGAATGAGCTTGTATAACAATGTACTGAATCTATTATTTTGGTAATATACACATTTTAGTATATAATTCCAATTATGGTTTATAATTATAGAAAAAAAGTCAATATGCTGAAATAACGAAAAATAATACAAATAGTCAGTGTAGGCGAAAAGCTAGTATTTTATAATTTTAAAAAGAAATTAGGATGTAAATTAAAAGTCCCTGAGAACCTTTTTGCAGCAAATATCTTAGAGTAGTGAGGCCTTCAACCGCTAACAGTTTCAGTTTGGTTGTTGATGCTTTTATATAATGTGGGAGATTTCTGATGATTCTACCGATTAATCAACGATAGATTAGTTCGATACTCTAATTATAAGTAAATTGTCACTCATTATGACAAAAACAATACCATAATTAAGATGAAACTAGTATTATTTTCGAGATTTACTTTAACATAAACGATGATTTTATTTTATGAAATTTTGTCTGTCCAGTTTTATTCGATGCATTCTGTGTGTTAAACCAATAACTTCACATCAAACATATAATATACCTAATACCGAATCCAAGATTGGCTCCATTGATATTTCAATCCGGCGTTGACCTAGACGAACCTGACGTCGGAGAGAATTCGAGATCGGACACCAACATGTATATTACAGGGAATGCTATCCTCATTAAGAGAATTCAGTAATAATAAACACTGTTGTACTGATATTAAATGAATAATTCTGCTATAAATCTTACCTATTCCATCAGAATTGGAAAATTATTCGGAGACTGTGACTGTTTGTTGAAGTAAATATTGCTTTTGTAGATTTTAGTACTCTTATGTAACAATTCTTAAATATTAGTAAAGTTCTCTTTTTATCTCATTATTTCAAAGAAAACAATCGGAATTTTTCTAAAAAACAAAAAGTCTCTTTTGTGATCAATAGTGTCATATGAGACAATATTCATGTCATTCAAATTTACCCTGACTTCTCACCCTTCAAACATAATTGTTCTGATGTTAATAAACAAAAGATTTCTATGAAAATCGAAAATATGACACCTAAATCAAAATTCTTTTTTTAGAGAGAAAAACACGCAATTCATGCTTTTCTCCCTGTGTCATATATGTCATGAAATAACAAAAGTAATTCCATGGGGTTATACTCGTCAAAAAGTTGCAATTTCTTTACCATTCTACTGTGGTAATGCATATTTTGAATAGAATACGCCTCTGTTCTATGCGAAACATTATATCCCTGAGACAGCTTGTATTCTATAGACCGTTTGTTATATATGAAAGCCTTTATTTCATTGGCTATATATTATAAGAAATAATGAAATAAAAATGATATGTAGCATTGGCATTGTTATCTTAAATGATATTTCATTTCTACGTACCACATATTGATTTTTTTTTCGATTGAAATAGTATAATATATGTTTTTATATCAAGATTTAATGACTGGAAGGAATCTTTTTCTCAGTTTCTTATGTAAAAGCATTTAGTCATAGAAATGAGTTTTGGTTTTAATATAATATTTCTTTAAAATAAGTGTTTAGTTAAATTTCTTCAATAATTTATGTATATAAATTTTAATATGATTAATCTGATATAAGATAAAATTATTACTTTCAGATAAATATGACTACCAAATATAATTTAGCAATATTACAATATTTATTTTTGATAGGTATATTATATATTGAGTACAATATATTTATTTCGAACTGATTTGTTTTCTTTTGATTTCAATCATTCGAAACAAATATCATTCCCTAATGCTCAAGGTCACATGGATCTTAGTCGTATTACTAATGATTCTTTTCAATGTGTTAAGACAAAATTATTGTTAAATAAATATCATACTACTGTCTGTGTATATGACATTAAACAAGATACAGATGTGAGCGGTTTAATCATCAAAAATGATATATAGGAGGTTCATTTAATTACATGCATCATTCATATTCTTTCTACTTATCGTCAGTTAGCGTTTATTGATACTGATGCAAATATTGGTATATATACAATGTATGCGGCGTCAATAGATTGTCCACATGTGATTGTTGTTGAATGTTTTCGTCCTAATATCGAACGAATTCGTCGAGCTATTCAACTTGAAAAAGTTCAACAATAAGTTATACTTGTATCTCGTGCACTTTATAATAAATCGAACGTTTATTTATCATTACGAACAAATATTGCGAATAATATAGGTTCGCAACGGTTGAATGCTGAAGTGCCTAAAAATGAAGATGATTCTCTTGTAGTTCAAACAATGCGTTTCGATGTTTTGTTGCCGTTTATTAATGAACGAAATATTCAAGAGGCAATTACTAAAATTGATATTGAAACATCTGAACATCATTTATGTTTAACAGGTGAAAAGATGTTTAGTCAAATAAATATTCTATTTGTTATGATGGAATTGGCAAATATTAAAGAAATACCTGAGAGATCCCATTTAATCCAAGAATTTTTTACTAATCGTAGTTATATTCCATTCAACTCAGAAACATGTCAACCAGAAACTGAAAAAGATAATCGACGTTGGCAAACTCAAGATATTTTTTGGATAAAAAAGAATTATACGTATCTTTGTAAATTATCATGAAAGAATATCAATTTATTCTGAAGGTATGGTTCAACTTAAGCATTCGAAATATATTTCTATAATGAACATTAGAAAAAAAAATGAAGAAAGGAAATATAGTTCTTATTTTAATACAATCAAAACACATCTCTGGGCAAAAGTCTTCCCCTCCTCTCTCAATAGTTTTTTTTCCTATAAAATTTCTTGTGTCTCGAGTGAATGTTAGTTACAAGAATGATTTAAATATTGTATTCTAATGTACTGTATGATTGTTTATGATCTGCTTCAATAAAGAATGTACTTCATTCAATACAATCGGCCAATACTACAAATCAGTTGACTGATAAACTACTTCCTGACTAGGTTATCTCTTTTCTATGGTATTTTCTTAATGTTTTACTTTATATGTATTTGTAATAATCGAATATACTGCGTTCTCGAAAGACATTCGAGTCAATGATGCAGAAAGTTTAATCATCTAAACTAGTAAAACAGTTAGCAGATACAAAAAAAGATAACTGAGTGGTGAAATATTCTGTCAACCAACTTATATGAGGTGTTGCTCAATTCTATTGAAAGACGTATATCTTCATTGAAGCAAATTGCCATCAATCCTACACTTCTCTGCAATAAACTACTTAACTCATCCTTGTTACCAAAATTCACTTAAGATCAAAGAGGTCCTTTAGCAATAAAATGATGAGAAGACAAGGGGGACGGGAACGAGTGAAGACTTTCGTCTACGAATGTAATTCAACAGTAATAATAATCGTGCTTCAGGTCTCTCCGCAAAAAAAAACAATTTTCTAAAAAAAAAGACAATTTTGTAGATACACATATAGACATGAACCCTAAATTGTCTAGTTTGAAAATTCATAAGAATAACTTCTAATTTTAAAAGGTTTCTTCAAAAATCATGATAAATTTCTAGAGCTGTACAGCGAAAAGGTCAATACCATATCCATAGAAATATTATAACCGTTATTGCAATTTCGAATCTAAGACTCTAGATGAATTTTTAATTGGTGTGTAATATAACCATATTTGATGCTCACGTCAGAAGGTTCTTCATGTAAATGTATGAAAAGAAATGCTTGCGCGTTTTTTTCGACTTTGGTTTTTGCATATATCATTAAATGTCCTACAAATTTCTTTTCTATAGTGTTCGTTCTAGTGAACTGCATTTTATTTTATTCGATAGATGATAGATCCATTCTCTTGCCAATGAGGAAAAGGACTTTCGTATTCGATCCTCAACAATATCAAAGCAGTCATGGGTTTTCTAGAAAACATTGTCTAAGATTTATGGAGTTTTAAGATTTTGAATGCTCCAAAAATAAAATTAAACAAAAGTTAAGAAATTCTTTACCTCATCCGAAGTGGTGAGAAGTTCTCTTTGAAATGTGATTAACCCAAGCGCTGTAGCTTGAAGTGTATTGAAAAAACGTTTGTAGATGTACAAACCCGGTTTTGTACTATGGTTACGAGAAATCTCCTGGAGAATAAGATTTGGAACCGTAAAGCTTTTTTTCTTAATAATGCACTTTCAATAGCCAAACATCGTTATAAAGTTTCGTAGAAATCGCATGCACCGTATCAAAAATTCGTTTTAGAACGAAGAGAAAAGAGGCCTTCACAAAAGTATTGGCCAATTCTAAATAAGAAGTTGACATGTGAATCGACAAAAAATTCATGTTTTGGCTTTTTTTTGGATCTGGTTTGGTCGTCACAATTGTTTTTCTAATCCAACAACCCGAACAGTCAGTTGTTTCTCTTCTCGAGTTTTTTTTTGCCAGCAATCTATTTTCTTATTGGCATAATGCTTAATCTATCCTTTTACAATCGTCAGCATGATCATACAATTCAATGAATGGATGACATTTGTTTTAAAGGTGAATGAAACCATTATGGTAAATAGTATAAAAAGAAAGTATCGAAAACAATCATTCTTTCCTTCAATGATGACATCATTGACGCAAACATTTGCTGTTTCTTCTGGTGTCAACTATGAATATATTTATCATGCACCAACGGGAAATGAGACAACGACATTTCTATTTCTACATGGTTTTCCTTCATCATTACACAGCTGGCGTCATCAAATCAATCATTTCAATAGTCTTGGCTATGGTTGTTTAGCACCCAATCTTTTGGGTTATGGTAAGACATATTCGCCTTCCAATATTACAGAGTACAGAACAAAACAGATGGTTCTTCATCTTGTTGCGCTTCTCTCACATCTAATGATTAGTCGTCCAGTAATTGTTGTCGGTCATGATTTTGGAACAGTGCCTGCTTCTCGATTCGCTCTCTATGAGCCAAAACGTGTTCAAGCTCTTATTCTTCTGAGCATCGGCTACAGTCCGCCTGGCTCTCAGGATAGCGGCAGAGCTGCTGATGCCACCAAGGAAATACTAGGCTATGATGCATTTGGCTATGGGCAATTTTTCGGTTTGGATCCAGATGCAGCCAATATTATTGAAAAGAATGTTAACAGTTTTCTTGATATCGCGTTCCCACCCACAGATGATGCGCTTACTCTTTGGCGTTCGAATTTTTCTCCCACAGGTAAACTAAAAGAATGGCTTTTAGAAGGCAGACGCTTGCCTCGTCGAGCATCTTATTTATCAGACACCGACTATAATGTTTACCTTGGTTATATCTTGGAAGGAATGAGGCCAAAATTGAACTGGTATACAGCTCGGTTAAACAATATTAATGAAGAAGACGAACGATATTTGAATTCTAATCTACAAATGCCATGTCTCTTCATTGGTGGGTTAAGAGACGCTGTCGGTGTTCCTGCATTATTTGCTTCTCAAAAACAATATATGACGCAATTGACGGTACTCGAAATGAACGCGACTCATTGGATTATGGAAGAGATGCCCCAAGAAGTCAATGACTCTATTGAGAAATGGGTCATGACTATTTTCAAATAATCGCTGCTTGCTTTATTGTTTAAAAAGATATTACCGAATGTGTTCTGAAGTAAAGGGATAATTTCTAAAATAAATAAATTTAGATGGGTTTTCAAATATTTTCGAAATCTTGATTTCAAGTTGATCGATCACATAAACAAAACATGAATTCATAGACAAGGTGACAAAGATAAATTATCAGTCGACTTTGCTACATTTCGATAACAGTATTGTTCAATTGTTCTCGTGGATTTCAGTGACATTGTAGCACTGGTAAGATCATCGTCGATAAATAGAAACAATCTAAGGTGGTCTACTTTCTTTTAGTTAATGATCATCATCTATTAAAGATTGGTTTGACGTAATCGACAGGTCAAATGAGAAATTCGCGAAAATTCATCTTTCTATAAAAAGGTTGTTTAGAACATACTTGAATTCAATAGAACATCTTTATCTTGAACGCTTTTGCTTTACTTTCTTCCTCGCATCATCTGAATTGATAGAAAACTACTGGTACATAGTTCATGCAATAATTTTCTAGGAGATTTTTAATTATGCTACCAACATTGAATAAATATGAATGATGCTATAGTTCAGATTTTTTTTTAATTTCTACAATGCTATTGACCTCAAATCAGTAAAGAATGAATCGTTTTGTAGTATCAGATTATATCTTTTCTAACACACATTATGTTTTACGTTCCTTGTTGACTTACTTATCAACTCTGTTATCGGTTCAACAATGGACAAGTATATTTATTCAAGCAATGTATCAGTAGTATCTAACAAGCTTTTTTTGACATCTTCCACCGATGCTGGAGGATCAATGGAACATTTCAATCTTCTGGCATGAGGTCCAAAAATCAAACTACTGCAGGTACCAATATATACGTTAGCTATCCGAAAGTGCGGTCAGTTATTTACACCATTCCAGGTATCCATAGATTAGGTGTAGATGTGGATGCTTCTTCTTGCTATCTACATGCACAACCACATGTACACCCTTGTTGAGCTGCATTTCATACTCATGTGTTGACTATTGCCAATATAAGCTTTCTTTGGTGTACGATGGTCTTGCTGTGTATTACATGAAGTGATCCATATTGCTCAATATCACCGATGTTTGACGTTTTGATCAACGAGTTTCAAAAAAGTTCTCACACTTCAATAGAATCAGTTTCAGCTTGGTGATGTGTTATGAGGAAGGGAAGTTCGACATAAATTCATAAAAACGTTGCATGTACAGTGAGCGTCAATCAGATAAATCTCTGCAAAATTCTAACATGTACAGATGAGACAGAAACTGCTGTCTGTTTGTCTTGATGAGATCATTCAATGGTTATTGTAGATGCAACTCACAATTACAAGACAGAAGACGATAAAATAAAGCTTAGTCATGGATACAATTATCCTATAGATTTTGACAACAACATCGTTAAGACCTTACTCTGTATAGTTGATCCTCTCATGGACTCTACATGAAGTGATAATAGCTCTTAACGTGGTCAGAGATGAGTTTTTGAATTTCAATACAATTTCAAGAGAGAACAAGACTTTGCCTTGTAGATTTTTCAGTTAAGTTTATTTAGCTGAAGGCGATATAAACATGAGTAAGCAACTATTTTTTTATGTTTAGTATGAATCGATTGCTTCAACAAAATGACAGCGAATTAACGAGTCTATTCGACTCGCTTCTTTTGGAGAACCTTATCAACATCAGCTCACTTTGAGATCAGCTTTCCAAGCGCATTGTCCTTTGTTAAAACAGCACCGAATGCTATCTACTATTCATCCCAGTTGTTAAGATAAACATTAAAGTTATTCTTTTTTCTGGACGCTTTTCGAAATTTTTCTTTGCCCATTCGAGACAGACTGCAGTCATAGATGGAAAGTTCATTGAACGATCGATTGTGCTCGATCATATCTTGAAGGACATCCACACTTGCATCAGTAATTCTCTTGTTTTTCGAAAGATCCAGACATTCGAGCGTATTATTATGCTTCTTTAAGCAATTGGCCAATTGCCGAACACCAAGATCGCTTATTTCATTCTTGCTCAAGCAAAGAATGGTCAATGTCGTGTTTTTTTTTAGCATTTCCGACAAATATTCGGCACCAGGATCGCTAATTCCAGTTTCTTGTAGGTTAAGAATCTTCAAGGTATTATTATTCATAGCAAGTGCTTTTGCGAGAGGTTTCATTCCTTTGTCAGACAGACGATTGCCATTAAGATACAATCTTTCTAATGTACTGTTGTTTGGTAATGCCGCGGCCAGAGTCGTAACACCGAAAAAAGTGATTTTGTTTTCTGATAACCAGAGTTTAGTACACTGTTTTTTGTTGATCACATCTTGAACGATAGTGCTCATGTCTCGATCGGTCAATTCTTGATGTCCCAAATCGATCATCGACTGAATTTGTGACGTGGCAATGATTTGTTCCGCTCGTGGGTTCAATTTATGTTTGAATCCTGTGAGAAATAAATGAAAGATTAATCTATCATCTGAAAAGAACTTTTGCACAAAATGCATTCTCGATAAAAGTAGAGCATCCTAATTTCATGAAGACTGAAGAAAAGAGCTTCTTTTTACTTCATTCAATCTCTTCTCTACTCTGTAACTTCTCATAGTGAGAAGAGAAAAAGAAGAGCAACGCTAGAGAGCCATTTGTTGCAGAGTTGTAACGGATAACGGTAAACGACCAGTTCGATCCACGAGAGAATTTCTTACTAATCGGTAGCAATAACTTTTTCTTTAATGGGCGGTCTAGTTTTTCCTGTTGAGCTTTTGCAACATCGAATAATTCCCATTATCTACTATCTATAGTATATCTTTCTATATCTGATCCTTTTCTTCGACGAATTTCGATTGGAAAGGTAATTTTATACTGTAGTTCGGTAGAAATCTTAAAAGGTTCCATTGAAAACTTGTTCGAAAGATCTTAATATGCTAGTATAGAGGTCCTTAATGAGACTAAAAATTTTTATCACTACCTAAAACTACATACTTTATCGGATGGAGTCAATTTGATAGTGATCTATAATGGTGACTAATAAGTAGTGATTCAACGTATTAAGTTGTGACTCACATGAAATGGCTTTTACAATAGTCGTCAAAAGTTCTGCTACTAGAAAAACATTATCTAAAAGTGACTCTTTTAATCTCATATCTAGACCATAGGTAAACAGCGATAAACTCTCATTGTAAACAGTAATCAGGATTTGATCGACCTTCACGCAAAGGATCTATAAATTAGATATAGATTTCTATTCAGACGAATATATTTCAGTATTAGTAATATATCTCATAGTGTTTCACTCCTTATTCGAGAGCTCAGTGCTGTCCCTATTACTGATAAAAACTTCATGTCAAACAATTGTATTTCGCCTTATTAATGAAGTTGTTTTTGAGAATTTCTATCACGAAAGTTGATAAAATTCGTCAAAAAAGTAGCCTGTAATTTCGACTATGTTCAACCATTTTTTTGAGGTTTCCTCCTGTGAGTTTTTCTGCTCTGATTAAGTTTTCTCTGGAATTTTCATAAATATAATTATTAGAGAAGCGAAGATTGATGTAAAGACCGTTCCAAATAATAATACTGTCACTGACCTTCAGAATCACAGTAGATTGGAGTCTTCTATCTGTGTCACAGTAAAGATGTTTCGAACTTGGTTTGTCAATAAAATGATGGATATTAACGCTTCGCAATAATAGAGAATCAAGAAAATTTCAAAAAAAACCCTTTTAGAGGTACAATTAGAAAAGCAGTATTTTTTTAAATCGAATTCATCAAAACCAATCGATATTAGGTTGATGTCTTCAATCAGAATTTATTGAATTCTGTTGGTAGAAACAATATGTCAGTGAAAAAAAAAATTAAAGGTTAGTTATTTGTTACCTGGTGGTAGTGGGACTTCTGGCGACTATGTGTAAAGAATCTACAGCCCTATGAAGTTTTCTGCTCGTCGATATCAGCCAACAGATACAAAACGTATCAGACTAAATAGTGAAAAGCGCAAAAGTGATGAACTACGTGATGACTGTTCACTCTTATATGGAATAGAAAGTGTTCGATCCCTCTGATCCATATCATCATGCTGAACGATTTTAGTATGGTTACGAAAAGTTAACCAGTTGTCAAAAGTTCAATTCGGTCTAAAGTAAAGATTTTCCACTTCGAAATGTTGAGCTCAATTGTCTAGACTATGTTTAATCTACTGTCAGATACTTCTTATGTCTAATATTTTTCAATTCATCTTTTCGATATCAAAATATCAAACAAGATTTTGTTCTGTGGAAAAGATTGTACTAATCATAAATACTACGCAACTGTGAAAATATTCAGTCCAGCAGAACCTAGACTTTGTAGTCAATTTATCTTTCCCTCTACACGAATATTTTTTTTTTGAATCGAAAAGCTTATTAGCTGTGATAAATAAATATTATAAACAAAAATAGAACACAGTTATCAATGTTGGTAGAGAAATCATATTCATAATGGAAAAAGTCAGGTAAAGTAAAGCATTGATGTTCTTCAAAATCAGCTGTTATGATTTACTAGATGACAAGTTTTTTAAAGAGTTCTTTCTTCATTCCTAGTATTAGCATAGATTGAAGGTGATACACTCCAATGAAAGTTGTTACTATTAGAAACTCCAACAGTTCGATGAATTTTTCATGGTATGTCTTCGTAGAATTACAGTAAGAAACTTTTCTCAAAAAAACTAACTAGTTAATGACATATTAAACATATCAGTTTTTTGCTGATTCATTTCTGTATATTGAATCGGCTAGTTTTCACCAAATTTCTTATCAGTTAATTCGAGAACTTCAACGAATCGGTCCTGTTTGATCACAAGAAATTTTATTGCCTTCAAGTATGAACTTTGCACTATGTTAAAAAAATTATTTCACGATTAGGAATATTGTTTTTAAAACTGATTTTCTTATGAAAAATTTGGTAAGTTATTTACTGATTTTTAACTGGTTTCATCGTTGTGCCGGCGTCAATCATTTTCTGTT